GCCATGCTGTGGCGGCATCCCATACAAGTAGAGGAAGATGGGCACAGATGTTAGCCCAGGGCCAGTCTTCCTCAGCAAAAAGAGGAGGATTGGCATCGGATGTTAGCTCAGGGCTACTCTTTCCCACCAAAAAAAAAAAAAATTTAAAAATTAAAAAAAAAGATCAGATAGAGACATATGTGTCAAAATGGGGTGCATTGAAACTTAAGAGTCACATTCAAACTTGTTTTCCTGCATTAGACCTATGGTGAGAGTCGCAAACATGATAACGTATCATGTGTCGTTGAAGCGACTTGTGGGGATGTTTAGATATATGTTTAAAGTTCTTGTTGGTTGTGAAGCTGAAGGTGGGTGTTTAAGTGGTACGTGATTTATCCTATGGTTAACTTATACCAATACTGTGTGATGATGTCTTTTTTTTTTTTCTTTTATATTTGTGGGCTTTTTAATAAATGATGATGGGTAACCATTTGGAAAAAGATAAAATTAGATCCATATCTCCCACGATACAGAAAAATAACAAAATTTTTAAATTGCATGGCGAAAATTGATAATGTCTTTTATAGCTGAAGAATGGGAGGATAGAGAATCACCCACAGATTATTTTAATTCAGATATAAACTTATATTTTCCAAAAATTTTTTTTTTTTTTTTGCTGAGGAAGATTTTCCCTGAGCTAACATCTTTTGCCAATCTTCCTTGTTTTGCTTGAAGAATATTTGCCCTGAGGTAACATCTGTGCCAGTCTTTTTGTATGTGGGTTGTCGTCACGGCATGGCCACCAACGAGAGGTGTAGGTCTGCACCAAGGCCACCGAAGCAGAGTGTGCCGAACTTAACCACTAGGTCACGAGGTTGTCCCCCCAAATATTCGTTTAAATATTATTACTGAGGGGCATGTACCTTTGAATTTTGTAATCTGGCCATGTCATATTCATTTATTAAAAAAATTTTATTTGAAAATGCCAATCACATTCATAAAAGTAAAACTTTTTCTCTATCATTTAGAGTTTAATAAAATCCAACCTTACTGTGAACACTGTAATGCTGAAAATGTAAGTATGTTTTAATTATAAAATTTGATTTTCTAATTTGCTTTATTTAAGAAAACAACATTTACTTATATATTACTTATTTATATATTATATATGTACCTTTTCTCCAGAAACACAATGAACAAGTGACCCCTAGGCTCCTTTCCCGGGGACAGTTTTTGTAAGTAATTGTGAAGACAGAAGACTTAACATCATCAGTAATTTAATTTTCTACATAAAAATAACCCCAAATAGGGGAAACACAAAACAGCATAACTAATTTCACACATTTTATGTAATTACTTGGATTGTTTTCTTTTATACTGATGCTTCTTCAAAATGCTGTAGTTCCCTTAGTGCTTTTGAATGAAATTAAAAACATAAATAATTTTAAGTCCTCTCCTAACCAAACGTTAGGACTAAACAGATTGTCCTATCTGTCCAATGCAGACTGAAGGTGGACACAGAGGGAATTTACCAGTGCACAGAAACTGGTCTGATATTTGAGGTGAACAGAAAAGTTGACATCAAGTATTGCATTTTGTCCTGGAGCAAATACGCAGACCTGGTTGTTAAGCCCTGGGCTGTCAGTGGACCCTTGTTTGATGTTAAATGTGACCCAGCCTGTCTTACGTCCATTCAGTTTCCACATTCCCTCTGCTTGGGTTGTAAGTACTTGTTTACTAAACGTTTAATTAGCATGTGCATGTGTGTCTGTGTGCAGCCCATTACAATGCCTGGAACACTAATTTACCTTCATATTTTAACAGATCATGATGCCAATATGACCTTCAAAGTCTTACATGTGAAAAGTTCTGGGGCCTTGTTAGAATCCACTGTGGATCATTCTGCAACCCATGTCAAATGGCATGTGAGCTCGCTTTCTCCTGTGGGACCTGTTATTCAAAGTGAAGAAACAGTATACCACCACGGGGCTGTGATTCTGTACAAAGCCATTGACCATAATCCATCCTTGTCTTTTCGAGTGTATATAGCAACCAATAATGAGTCCTTCATCAAGGTAAAGTCAATGAAAATAAATAATAAATGTTGAATACTTTGTGTTCAAACATGACGCCATGTTTAGGTGGATCCTATCTCTGTTGATTTCAGTGGTCCCCTGCTGTGTCTAATTTGTCAGTTACCCACAGAGGTTATAAGGTCAGTGCCTAGATGTATATTGAGTCCGCAGATCCATGGAGTATGGTAGTTTATACATGTAAACAGTGTCAAGGGGGCTGGCCTGGTGGTGTAGCGGTTAAGTGGGCTCACTCCGCTGCTGGTGGCCCGGGTTCAGATCCCGGGTGCGCACGGATGCACTGCTTGTCAGGCTATGCTGTGGTGGCGTCCCATATAAAAAGTGGAGGAAGATGGGCACAGATGTTAGCCCAGGGCCAGTCTTCCTCAGCAAAAACAGTAGCATTGACATGGATATTAGCTCAGGGCTGATCTTCCTCACACACAAAAAAACCTGCAACAATGTCAAGAAGAAAACAGATGGGGAAATAGCCCTCCAGAGGTGGAGATGGCCCAGGCAAGCAAGCCTGGCCTTGGAGAGGGTTGCCTGATGTATAGCCCAGGCCATGTTTTCTATAGCCTTGCTACTCAAAGTGTGATCTGGGCACCAGGAGACCAAGAGCATGGACATCAGCAGGGAGCTTGTTAAAATGCAAAATCTTAGCCCCACCCCAGACCTACAGAATCAGAGGGAGCCTGCCCTAGGCTGAGTTCCCAGGGGACCCGTGTGCGCATTCGAGTGTGAGAAGCACTGCTCTGGAATACACTGGGAAGCCATTTGAGGTCTTTGGGTCAAGTGTAGGGTGACTTGAGATTTCTTCTTGGCCTAAAGCTCCTCAAATAAGATGGACCTCCCAGGTTAACTCATTTCAGAGCAATTCTTTAGATAAAAGTTGACCCATGGTTCATGGGTTCAACATTCTGGGTTTTGTAGCAGCAAATATTCCTGAAGCGCCCGTTGTGTTTACCGCAGCGTGGCCTGAGGGGAGAGAGTTGGATATTACCAGTTCTCTAGAACATGGAATAAGGCTGGGATGTTTAGCCCTTTTTCTGAACTCCTATATCAATTAGAATCGTGGTAATTGAATCTCCTTTCATACCTTTAGTCGTCGTCAGTACAGTTGTAATGGGTTAGAGGTGGATGGAGAACTGAAACAAGCAAAGTAGGCAGATAAGACAGTGACTCAAAATTGTACTTTCATATTTGAAATCAGGGTTTGACATAAGTTAAAAAAAACATTAGATCTACGATAAAATGTACTGATTGATGAGTTAGAGTTACAAAATTTACATCAAACTATCTACTTCCAGTGTTTTAAGTTGTAGTGTTTCCACAGCTTTAAAAATAAGTTATATTGATTATAATTAGCAATATATATTAGAGTTTAAAAACTTGATTAAGTAATAGGTTTTTAGTGTCTTCCTAAGAAGGTAAAATATGCTTCCTGGAATCTCACTGAAGTTAATACTTCCAGTTGGGAAACTAGTCTTCAAAATGGTCTAAAAATAATCCTATCTAAAGTAGAATTAGATAGATTTGGATTAAATACTATTATTTAATGAACTTTATATTTTTTGAAAGTAAATTCAATTAATTAAAATGGCGTTGCCCACATTGCCTGGGCGGCTGGAGGCAGCAGCTGATTCTGTCGGCGAGGTGAGGGGAGAAACAGGTGGTGGGCGCACAGTGGGGGAGGCAGGGTGTCCTTCCTGGCTGCTGCTCTACTGTTGCAGCTTGCCTCTTGGGTTGACTTTTCTCCTATGTAAGAAAAGATTTCTTTGAACTTTGCCTTCAGGAAACCTAAATTTCATGTGTGATCCTGGGCCAAAGGTTACATTAACTTCCTTGGGGCATTCAAACAATACATATAAAATCAGTGTCCCCTCTAGGGCCCCATCAAAGGATGGAAACAAACTTCGAGTGAACTGGAACTGCGTACAGTAAAGTAGTTGCTTTCCTTTCACATGAAATGGGCATGTCATTCGTACAAATGTATATTGCTAGTGCTAATTTAATTTTCTCGAATCCTGCAGAAGCAAGTTGCTGGTGCCACGCAGGGTATGTGTTGCTTTTGGCTGTAGTGCTTTTGCAGAAAGGTGTTTGGAGATCTAGGATCCTGGAGTGCAGACCAGAAGTGCCTTAGCCCTGGGGCATTTCTGTTTCGAGCACTGTGAGCGTTCTTCCATTGCTGTCATTTGTAGGAGGAAGTGAAGACGATGCCAGCCGGCACATGCTCTGCTTGGACTCGTTCCGTTCTTAAAGTTGTTGCTGATGAATTTTAAAATCAAAACCTATTTCCACCTTTAGGATATTTCCAAGTCTGTGAAGCACTCCTCTAAGAAATTCATGAAAATCGACAAGCCTCCTGTTTGCCAGAAGTTACTGCAGAATGGGAAGAAATACAGACTGATCAGTGAGCCAGAAGCTGAAATTACCCCAGAGGTATATATTTTAAAAACCACTTGGAGTAGTAGCAAGGATGTACCTTTCTTAAATATGATATTTTGAAGGTTTTAAAATATGTATTTTGTTCTCATTTTTTTTGTGTGTGAGGAAGATCAGCCCTGTGCTAATATCTGCCAATCCTCTTTTTGCTGAGGAAGACCAGCCCTGGGCTAACATCCGTGCCCATCTTCCTCCACTTTATATGGGATGCCGCCACAGCATGGCTTGCCAAGGGGTGCGTCGGTGCGCGCCTGGGATCCGAACCCGCGAACCCCGGGCCGCCGCAGCGGAGCACGTGCACTTAACCGCTTGTGCCACCAGGCCGGCCCCAGTTCTCATTTTTTATTACTTTGTTTATAAGAAAGCAATTGTTTTGCTAAAGTCATAGTTTATTCCAAAGATGCTGTTGAGTTTCAGGATTAATCTGCAACCATTGCAAAAATTGACTATCCGTTCTCTTTCCCTTTATTTATTTATTGTGAGAAAGATCAGCCCTGAGCTAACATCCATGCTAATCCTCCTCTTTTTGCTGAGGAAGAC